GACTCCCAGTTACTTTCAGTTATTATATTATCAGTTCAATATTTAATTGCCTTACATACTCGGTACATTATTTTATACTGACGTCCCTTTCTTGGGGATGCTGCATTTTATGCATACAGGTTCGGATAGACAGACTGGTAGACCTCCTCCGTAGGTGCTGTCCGTGTTCAGCTTGATCGATAAGCTCCACATCCTTCGGAGTTACCGGGTCTATGGTTTTTAGTACATATTGTGTGTATATTATGGGTAGGTCGGGGCCCTATTCCGACTAGAGTACATTCATCAGTAGAGGCTTGTAGACATCCTGTTAGTCGGTGCAGTACGTTGAGCTTGTAGGCCTTGTATGTATATTTTTGTTGATTTTCAGCTGTAGTAGTTATGACAGCCATGTCGGCCCAGCTTTATATTGATGTTCAGTCAGAGCTAGTTTTCGTTCAGTTTTATATTTTGTTTCACAAATTGTCTTGCAATGTGGCCCTATGGTCAAAGTATGACATCGTATGTTCAAAGTCCCTTAGTCTCAAGTTGGTATGCTCGGCTAAGTGAGGCACCGGGTGCCGGTCTCGCCCCCCAGGTTTGGGGCGTGACAATGAGGTTATATGTTTGCGTGGATTCTCGCTCTTCTTTATTTGAGCGCATCAAAAAGCATTAGTATGACGACCCCCATTTTCTTGTCCGTAAGGACACAATACAACACGGTGATGCCAAGGAGGTTTCTGTTGGAGATGATGGGGTGTTGCGGATGCAGGGTTAGATTTGTGTGCCCAATGATGATAGGTTACGTGAGTTAATTCTTGAGGAGGCCCATAGTTCGTGGTATACCATTCATCCAGGTGCCGCGAAGATTTATCAGGACTTTAGGCAGCATTATTGGTGGAGGAGAATGAAGAAATATATAGTGGAGTATGTGGCTCGGTGCTTAAACTTTCAGCAGGTGAAGTACAAACATCAAAGGCCGGGCGGTTTGCTTCAGAGACTTAAGATTCCTGAATGGAAATAGGAGCATGTTACCATGGACTTCGTTGTTTGGCTCCCACGGACTTTAAAGAAATTAGATGCAGTATGGGTGATTGTGGTTCAGTTGACTAAGTTAGCTCATTTTATTTCGGTGGCGACTACCTATTTTTCAGAGTGGCCGGCTCAGATCTATATCCGTGAGATTATTCGTCTTCACGGTATGACGCTGTCCATTATTTCTGATCGAGGCACGCAAATCACATTGTAGTTTTGGAGAGCAGTGAAGCGATAGTTGGGCACACGGGTTGAGTTGAGCACGGCACTCCACCCTCAGATGGACGGACAGTCCGAGTGCACCATTCAAATATTGGAGGATATGCTACACGCTTGTGTTATGAATTTTGAGGGTTCTTGGGATCCGTTTCTACCGCTTGCTAAGTTTTTCTACAACAACAGCTACCAATCGAGTATTCAGATGGCTCCTTATGAGGCCTTATATGGGAAGTGGTGTCATTCTCCAGTTGGCTGGTTCACCTGAGGCTAGGCTGTTGGGTACTGATTTGGTTCAGGATGCCTTGGAGATGGTCAAGTTGATTCAGTATCCGTTCGCACAACACAGTCTAGACAAAAGAGCTACGTGGATCGGAAGGTTCGCAGTGTTTCATATATGGTGGGAGAGAAGGTATTGCTCAGAGTATCACTCATGAAGGGTGTGATGCTGTTCGGGAAAAAGGGCAAGTTGAGCCCTCGGTATATTGGCCCTTTTGAGGTGTTTGAGAGGATTGGAGAGGTGACCTACAAGCTTGCATTGCCACCTAGTCTGCCGATCGTTCACCCAGTTTTTCATGTTTATATGCTCCGGAAGTATTACGGTGATCCGTCTCATATTTTGGACTTCAACATGGTTCAGTTAGATGGATATTTGACTTATGATGTGGAGTTGGTGGCCATTTTGGATTGGCATGTTTGAAAGTTGAGATCAAAGGATATAGCTGCGGTGAAAGTTCAGTGGACGGGTTGATGACCAATTGTGAGTCATTTTTTAGTTCTATTCATTCGCTGCCAAGTCCCCGAGCCAGTTTGAGTCCTTCAAAAATAGCTTCATACTTGGCTTCGTTGTTAGTCATTGAAGGGAATTTGATCGACTATCGGACTATCCAGTTGGTGTGATGAGTAATATTCCGAGCCCAAACCATTCACATTAGATGAACCATTTGTATACGAGGTCCTGGTTTTTGAGATGCTCTCAGAAGCTATTAATTCCTCCTTCTCCGCCTTGGAGAGTATATTAGTACTAAAACGATGTCTGTCAGGACTTGAAATTTTATAGCTGTTTGGGGCAGATACGTTATATCATACATGCTTTATTCGATCGTCCATTTGGTCACTCATCCCGAGAGTTCTGGCTTATGGAGAATACTCCTCAACGGGAAAGTAGAGACCACCGAAATAGGACGACATTGAATGAATGGTCCCAATTTCTGCGCAGCCATTATGATTGCTAGTGCAAGTTTTTCTAAATACGGATACCTGGTTTAGCGTCTATTAATGCTCTCCTTACATAATAAATAGGATATTCTGTACCTTCATTTTCTCAAACAAACACAGCACTTACAGTAGTTTCTGCCATGGTTAGGTAACTCCAGATTCGGGTTTCAATAAAAGAGGTGGGTTGGACTAGTACCTTTTAGGGTCTCACAGTTCCTATTGGAATTTAGTATTCCATTCAAAGTTCTTGTTATTCTTTAGTGCCGCAAATATTTTGTGGCACCTCTCGGAGGAGCGGGATATGAATTGCCCGAGTGCCGTTATCCTTTCGGTCAGTCTCATCACCTCCTTCTAGGTCTTTAGCACTTTAGGTATATTTTTAATTTCTTTGATCTACATAGGGTTAGCTTCTATACCTCTACTTGAAACCAGAAAGCCAAGGATTTTACCTGAACCGACCCCGAAGACACACTTTTCTGGGTTGAGTTTCATGTTATATTTTTTCGAAGGACTTCGAAGGCTTGCTTCAAGTGGGACAGATGGTCATCGCTCGAACTTATTTTACTAACATATCATCAATGTATATTTCCATAGATTCGCCGATATAGTCCCGGAATATTCAAGTGACTAATCTCTAGTACGTTGCTCTGGCATTTTTTAATCCGAATGGCATGACGTTGTAGCAATAGGTTCCTCTGTCGGTAATAAGTGAAGTTTTTTCTTGGTCCTCTGATTCCATTTTGATTTGGTTGTATACCGAGTATGCATCCAAAAATCTTAATAATTCGTGACCAATTATGGAATCTATGAGTTGGTCAATATATGGTAGGGGAAAGCAATTCTTTGGGCCCAATGTTTCTTTTCTTTTGCTTCATGGGTTGGTGGTTTAGATATACATTTAATTTATGCATCATAATATCCATCAGATGCCTTTCATATCTGCATGAGACCAAGCGAAACGATTCGAATGATCTTGAATAAATTTAATTAACTTATGATTCTGTTCGAGAGTCAATCCCAACCAAAGAATGAGAATCAGTTCTTCTACATGCTCCGTCTTCAGTGAGGAAACGTCATCTTCCTCGGGCTCGACGATTCTGTCCAGAGGGGGGCCTGTTCTAGGCGCATTAGCTGCACTCTCGCCCTCCTATCGCTGTAGTTGCTATTTGGCAGTTTCCTTTTTGGAGATGCTATTTGCGGCGCCAATTGAATTGACTACCCGTGATGCCCTTTGTTCTACTCAAATTTTTCGTATCCCCCATTTGGACGGGAATTTTATCACCTGGTGTAAAGTTGAAGGCACCACATCTATCTCATGAACCCATAGTTTCCCTAGGATAGCGTTATAAGCCATATCTCCTGCCACAACCTAGAACGGGTATCCTTGGTTATCCCTTAATCATTGGTCACCAATGTTGCTTCCCCACGAGTCATCTCACTGGAGTTGTTGAACTCCAAGAGCAGTCGTACTACTGGTGATCTCCATTTCTTGAACCATTTGTGACTAGATGATGTTGGCTAAACTTCCTGGGTCAATTAAAACTCTTATCACATCAGTATAAAAAATTCATAAAGTAATTATGAGGGCGTCAACGGTCAATCCGTCCGCTTCTTCGTCGTCAAATGTTATGCTCTCCCTAGTTAGTGTCTGCCAAGTGCGCTTCTCGTGAGAAATAGACGTTTTCGTTAATTTCTTTGCCGGCGTGAAGCTGGCTCCGTTTTCTTCTCCTCCAAAGATAACGTGACGATCCGATTAGGAGCCGGAACCTTCGATGGCTACTCCTTGTTCCGATTTTTCATGTATGATAACTTCGCCTTTTTATTGAAGAGTTTCATTAAGTATCCCTCCTTGAGAAAGCGATGGACTTCGCATCGAAGGAGTCTGCAATCTAAAGTCTTGTGGATGTAATCGTTATGGAATTCGCACTAGAATTCCTAGATTCGCTTGCTCGGATTAGACTTCATCTCTTTCGACCATCTTACTTTGTCCCTCATATCCTTGAGTGCTGCTTCTAACTCCGTCACATTCATGCCGATGAGAGAGTTTCCTTTTGATTTTCGATGCACCTTCTTTGAAGTGTTGGGGCGGCTTTTATAGCGGTAGGAAGAGAACTACCATTCTGAGTTTCGAGCCAACATGCCCGTGGATCATGTAGTGGGGAGCGGGAACCTTGATAATGGCTTCCGTTTAGGCATAACATAGATATCCACGATCAGTGGATAAGGTTGGCTGAGTCTCGGAACTCATTCTTTCACCTTTCGAATACTTGACCCTTTGATGACCATACTCTTAGAACCTTCCGAACTCGGCAACGGGTCCCATCACTTGATTTTTAGATCTTAATTGCCACGTGGGACTTTTTTTATCACGCTACTTCGAGAAGATAATTTTTACCCATACAACAAGCGCAGGTGAATACTGGTGGTTGTAATTTGGTTGTCTTATTTGGTAACTGATAACCAAATCTCAGTCCCAATTCGCAGTATTATCGAATAGGCACGTGATGATCATGAACGTATAAAAATTGTGGTAAGGTTCGCGGTTAGCCACCCTAACAAGTACTGTAGTGGAAGTGTCAATTATACTTGCAAGAGGAAAAAGGTTAATATTAATTAGTTTCATAGATTAAGCTGGAGCAGCACGTCGGTGTATATGTGTCTCTTCCTCAGCACCTCTCGTGATTCCTCCTCTTTCTCAGCCACCGAAAACCCTTGAAATCCTCCAACCCATCAATCCTCAACACATGGTCGTTTCTATGTACTATTTCATAAAATGTTTTTCTTTTCTTGGATATATATATATATATATATATAAAAGACTTTCTCTAACTGGACTTATGATTCTTGTTGTTTTCTGATTGATTAGTTTTATTTTGCTAGTCGCAAATAATAATGGCGCGGAACAAAGACGGGGAAAACGAGGAAGATGAGTTTTTCTGGGAAGAATCAGATGATAATCTTGAAGGTGGTAATATTAATACAGAGGAAGACATGACAGAAGATGAGGAGCATGAAGAAGGAGAAGGGAGGCCTTCTCGTTCCTCTTCATTTGTTTCTCAACAGTGGCCAAAGAGTGTCAGGTAAGTAACACTCTACTCTTGCATATACATGTTCCTGAACTATATCAATTTCTGTATATGTACTCTGTGTCTCTCCCAGACCCAGTTTCAATGAAACAACACGATGCTTTCAATTACAAATATAAATTTAAAGTTGCTAGCTTGTCCCTATTTTATATCCGTACTTGTGATTTATTTTCAGCTGGTTTACTGAAAATGGATGAGTATTCACTACTTATTAGTTATATCAGTTGAAGGGCATATAAAGCGTATGGCTGTAGTGGGCTCGACAAACAGCTGTTTCTGGTCCGAAAGTTTTGTGGATATCTGTGGTTGGATAGGAGGGGGTGGAACATCATCTGTTGATTCCCTATGCACTGAAGGCCAACCAAATTTTCTTTCAATACATTTCAAGGGAAGTTTTCTATTAAAATGTTTCATGGCTCTCAATGGTGCAAACTTCCTGATGTTGGTTTTCCTGCTTTGGGAGATTCAGGAGCTGGTGTAATAGCTCCTAGGATGTTGAGACTTGCTTGTTGGTTATGGGATTATCTAAGAAGTGGTGCGTATGGTTTTCTGCTTCCGCTTTCTGGAGGTCCTGATAGTTCCTCCACTGCTGCTATAGTTGTTTCAATGTGCCAGCTTTTTATAAAAGAAATTGCAAAGGGCAATGAGCAGGTAACAACTGATGCCTTTCTAATTGGCCATTACACTGACGGTCAGTTTCAAACAGTTAGCAAAGTATCTGACAAACAAATCATTACCACTGTGTTTATGGGATCTGAAAATAGTTCAGAAACTACAATCGCTCAGGCAAAGGTGTTGGCTAATAAGATTGTATTTGTTGGAGCCCTTATGGATTGCAGTAAGAAAAGGTGGATAGAAAAGGATCAGTACTATTTGAAGTCTTGGAGAAATATTACGGAAGAAGGGAATACTGGCCGATAAATGAGGAAATCTATGATGTTTGTTCATTGGTCTTTTGCGCATTAACCTTTTATCCTCTTCTGAAGTTTAGGATATTGATGCTTATCGCTGATGATAGTGGAGTAACAGATACTCAGCCAAGTAGAGTATCTGTAGAAACATGGGAGTTGGAAGTTGTCTTTACGTGTAAACAATTTGAAGGCTCAAATGCTCTTAGCTTCTTCTGGCAAGTCCCTCATTGTGCTGTAATAGGAACTACAGATATGGTCTTGTGTGTCTCTTTATTGTGGTCCATCTCACAAATGTCTGATTGGATTATCCATATCACTGTTGAGCTATTTGAGATATGAGACTTTATTATCAGTGGAGGAAGTAGGAAGTTCCATGGTTGAGCAATGGTGTAAGAAGTTGGTGGGTGAACTTTTCCATGTTCCTAATTCATTTACTGTTATGGAGTTGTTGTCCATTGAGATTGAATGGAGCGAGATGATGTTTCCATTACTGTCAAGGGAATCACTTTATTCAAGGTTATGGTACAAACCCGAGACATGGTGGTACAATCCAGATACTATGTTATCGGTGCCAAGGAACTACTATATAATAGATATTGTGGGTCATCCAAATAGAATCAATGAAATAATAATGGTTGTGTTTGTCATTCAGTTAGTTGGGCTCTTAAGTTTACTGCACTATGACAGACACAGAATGGGTTGGTTGTTTATTTTGATTGTGGTTCTTTGGTTTCTTTTGGTATTAGTTAATGGAATGTGGAAGGCATCAGAGATGATCTCTGTGGCAAATAATGACAAGGGGGTGGCTACCTCCTCTACTTATTGTCTTGTTGAGAGGAGAAATGAAACTACATTGAGGTTTGATCCTTTTGGTAGCACATTTACTGGAGGAGTGAATGTTAGAAGATTTATACGGTTGTTCATGCTTCTACATTTGACTGGTGCAGTGGTTAAGGAAGTGAAGGTGGTGATGACTCCTGTAGAGTTCATTATTAAAGTATTAACTACTCTACTGTTTTTACCATATTTTTGTGGATTTCGAGATATTCACAGGACACACATGATAGATCTCATTATGATTATGTCCAAATTGGAGTAAAATATGCTATGGAAGAATTTTACAGTAGAGTGATCTTTCATAAGCAAGAATTTGCAATTGTTTTTTGCAAGCATTTTACTGGTGAAACATTTTTGTCCTTTAAGGAGGTTGGAAAGAAAGTATATGGAAAATTAGAGAAGGTGTTGGAAAAGGTATAAGTCAGGTTCAAAGGTTGATAGATTTTTATGATCATTTGGGTAAAAATATTCACGAGAAGGTCCTGAGTGATAAGAATGATAAGTTGCCGAGAAAAGTTTGTTTGGCCATATGTTGCATGTATAGTAACATGGAAACGAGGATGCGAGGCCAAGGCTTTCTACTGGTGTTTCTAGCTTTTGATAACTCGACAAATATTTTGAAGCAGATGATGATTTTACATGGGGTGAAGACGAGGTTTCACACTGTTACCAATTCCAACCTTGAGGACAAGGTTGCTATAAGGGGGATGGAATGTAACGAAATGGTGGTACCTTGAGCTCCCAAGTAGTACAATGGTGTTAAAGTGTTAAAGAAGTGCCAAGTCAGGATGGAGTTTCAGCATTTAAGTTTAGTCCTACTTTTTATGTTATTTTCATTAGTTACCCCACTAGTTAGTTCACGCTTTTATATCTTGTCAATGTTGTGGTGATTTTTACAAATGATGTAATTGTAGTAGCTTAGGTATACACTGAACTTTTTTCTATGAATTTCCAACTAATTAGAAGATATGTGCTATATTCCATTTTTTTCCCATGGGAAGGTAGAAAGAAGATCAAGTATTCATATTTACAAAATGTTGTATAGCTTACAAAAGTTAGTTTTCCAATTGTATATGCCTCCTTATTGTCACTATGTTTATGTATGAGCTATTTCATATTTGTATTGTTGGAACTGAGAAATCGCTGATGGCCGTGGACTGTTGTGAAGTACTTCAATGCAACCATAGTGAATTGCAGAAAGGCTACTGAGTAGGGCTTGTCGCATGAGTTGGAGTTAACACTCCAAGGTGTTTCCTAGTGGTTGTGACATTCTTAAGTTTGGCTTAGGCTAAGGTTTTATACAGTGGGAAATTTGAAGATAAATTGATTCTGATCTTTGTATTGCTCTGGGATGTTGCCAGGTATAAATGAAATTTGGAAAAAGTGAAAGTGAACAGACTAAAACCTCGATCAAAATATTTAGATTATTGTGTTAAGCTATTGCTGGATGAACCTTGTTTCTGCTCATATGGCGCTACTGCTTGTACTAGAATTAGAATTCATATGGTAACTTCAGGTGACATCAATTACAGGCAGAATTTGTGATTGTTGGATTACAGGCACATGTTTATCTATGTTCAACTCGTTCGAAACTATCCGGGCCTTAATTCTCTTCTGTTTTCCATTTCCAATTCTTTTTTCAGGGAGTCTATGGATATTTACACAATTGCTGCATCACCAAACTTTGGATCCTTTCAGCCTGTAGCCAGCTTTAAGTATTCGACTTCTGATATCTCTAGTCAAAATAACTTGGTTTGGAGTGTAAAGACCCCTTTGCTGTCTATTGATGGGAAGAGTCACCAGAAAAGCGACCTTGATGTGCCCTGGAGATCACAAGTTTCATGGCCAGAAAAGGTTTCATCACGTATGATCACCGGAGAACTTCCAATTAGCCACGGATGTAGCCTTGTTCAAACTATATTCAATGGTTAGAATCATCACTGTAATCTTCTGGGAATGCAAAATCCTTTGTTTCTGGATGGTTATTCTATCTGCAATTTCTGATCATGATTTGGGCTCAGGGAAGAATTCTAGAGAGGATATATAGTTAACAATAGAACAAGGTTAAAAGATGAATTGAAATGAAAAAAGAACAAAATCAATGAAATAAAAAGTTTACACTTAGGGGTCGTTTGGTAGGGTGTATAAGAATAGTGCGGAATAAGGTGTATTAGTAATGCATGGGTTAGTAATGCAAGCATTAGTTATGCAGATATATTTCTTATCTACTGTTTGGCGTGGTGTATTAAAATTATAATGCATTGCATAATTTTTAAGAAAAATAGTTTTTTACAAAAATGCCATCCATATTCTCTAGCTTTAAGGGACTTTAAAGACAATTTTGTCTTTAACCATACTAATGCATGCATTAATAGCCTTGGTATTACTCATGCCATGGTTTTCTATGCATTACTTATACATAGGATAATACCAAGTATGATGTATAACTAATACAAGTATTAGTTATACACAGGTTGAAAAAATGTACCAAACAAGGTATTAATAATGCATAGATCTAATGCTTGCATTATTTTTTCTAATACCTCCTACCAAACGACTCCTTAGTGGGAACGGTCTATTCCTTTGCGTCATTTGCAGCACCTGTTATCAATATAGTGGTTTTCTTCTTTAATTTTTTGGTCATGATTACATTCCAGTGATTCTTTGCTTAATTGAATTGTTTTTATTTTATGGAATTTCAAGGGCTTCTCATGCTATGCAACAGGGACAAATGTCATGGCTGGAGTTGGACTTCTTTCTACACCTTATACAGTGAAACAAGCAGGTTGCGCAAGCATGGCAGTGCTTGTTCTTTTTGCATTAGTCTGTTGTTATACTGCTTGTCTTATGCGATATTGCTTTGAAAGCAAAGAGGGAATTACATCATTTCCGGACATGGGAGAAGCTGCATTTGGAAAATATGGACGTATTCTAGTATCTGTAAGTTCATATATTCAGCTTTGCACCTAATTATAGGCTAGTGGGCTAAGGAGATATTTGGTTATTATGTCAAAGACCATGAGGTTTGTATTATTTCATTTGATATATACAGTTAATTACCTAGTTATATGCTAGTGGGCTAAGGGGATATTTAGCTACTATGTCAAAGACCATGATATCTCTTTTCTTTCATTTTATTTAAACATGGTGCTTACTAGCACGACAAAATGTTTGCTACTCTCAGCAATTATAGCCTGTATTAATATGCCTTTTCTTTGCTCTTTAAGAAAATTACCTGACAAGTCCTCAGAAGTCGCAACTATAAGTATTCATTTGAAATTGCTTCGACTAATGATCTGAGGGCATAAAGAATCTTGGCCATTTCGGGTGACTGAAATAAGAGGGAAGGGAAAGAACCAAAACAAAGAAAAATTAAAAAAGTCAATGAAGTGGAAAGGATTAAATATGTGGAGTAAGAATTATATATAAGCCAATAATGAAAAGGTGGTGTCTATACTACTGCATGTTAACCCCGTGGTTTTCTTGGTTTGGTGCAGATTATTTTGTACATGGAGCTATATGTAAGAGATGCACTCCTCAGCTGGATTTGCAGATTGTTGGTCTCGTTTGACATTGCTCAATTCCTAATAAGTCTTTCTTGACTTGCAGTCCTCTTGTGTAGAATTTATCATACTTGATGGAGATAATCTCACGCGGCTATACCCTGGAGCACACATTAACTTGTTTGGTTCTCGATTGGACTCCATGCACTTGTTTGCAATCATTAGTGTTCTTATCATTCTGCCCACAGTTTGGTTGAAAGATTTACGATTGATCTCTTACCTTTCAGGTTTCCAAATAGTTCTACAGCTGCTACCCATTTTTAGTTCTTTATCAGATCATACTACTACTTACTACATTGCCCTTTTTTGCAGTCGGAGGTCTCATTTCGACAGCTCTAGTGGTCATATGTCTTTTCTTACTTGGGACGGTAGATCAAATTGGATTTCGTCAGACGGCTCCAGTAGTAAATTGGAGTGGTATTCCATTTGCCATAGGTGTCTATGGTTATTGCTATTCAGGGCACTCTGTTTTCCCAAATATTTATCAATCCATGGCTGACAAAACCAAATTTACAACAGCAGTCATTGTGTGGTATAGAGGGCTTTATGATTTTTATTGATCACTTTTTTTTTTCACAGCCAGTATAATGTTTGTTTTTGGGAATTGTGCAGCTTTACTTTGTGTATTCTCTTATACGGTGGTGCTGCAATCATGGGATTTCTTATGTTTGGTCAATCTACGCAATCACAGATTACTCTGAATTTGCCAAAACATGCTTTTGTTTCTAAAGTTGCATTATGGACGACAGTGAGTTTTGTTTGCTCTCCTCCCTTAGAGCTGTCATTATCAGTTTATATTTAATTTATTTCATTTCATTTGCAGGTAGTAACTCCAATTACCAAATATCCTTTTATGAGATTAAGTTTTCTTTTAAGAAGCTTTTTCATTGTTGTGAATGTTCTTATCAATTTCTAGTTGAGTTCCTTAACTTTTCACAAATATTCCTTGTTACTGAACCCGTTAGCTAGAAGTATTGAGGAGTTGCTTCCTGCAGCTTTGGCTACTAGTTACTGGTTTTTCATTGTCCTAAGGACAGCATTGGTTATATCTACACTTTGTGTTGCATTTCTTCTTCCCTTTTTTGGTAAGTTATTTTAAACCGTTTAATCGTCTTTCTTGTTCATTGATTCAGACTGCACTATTCATAATCAATTTTGTAATTGTTATGTTTCATTTAGCTGCCTATTGACACATATGCGCACATGGCTGTTTATGTGCTGCTTGTGGTAGTTGACCAGTTTATCTCTGCTTATTATATCAAAAAGTACGGCGTACTCTGATTTTCTTTGAACCCGAATATCACACAATATACAATCTATGAATCAAAAGGGGAGTCTTGGAGCAGCGGTAAAGTTGTCTTCATGTGGCCTATAGGTCAATGGTTTGAACCGTGGAATCAGCCATTAACGCTTGTGTTATGGTACGCAATCTACATCACACTCCTGGGGTGCGGCCCTTCCCCAGACGCTGCGTGAACACGAGCAACTTTGTACTAGGATGCCCTTTATACAGTCAATGAACCGAATATTGTGTGCATATTCTGTTACTCCTACAAACAACAACAACCCAGTAAAATCCCACAAGTTGGATCCGGGTAGGGTTGAGTGTACGCAGACCTTACCCCTCATATTTTGTTACTCCTAGGAATCATAAAATGATTCTCTAATGCAGTATACATAAAAGAGAAATCTTAAAAGTAAAGGTCTACTTTGGTTTCTTGAATGCCCTAGGGTTGTTTGAAGGTTTCACTTTGATCTTTTATTTCCATCTTCTATGATTTACTATGGTAGATTGCTTCTTATGAAGATTCTTTTACTGTTTTCCATATTATATTCTTTTGCAGCAGCTAATATGAATCCTTTAGATTATACTCAGATTGGTCTCCCTGGCCTGTTATTAAAGTTGTTCCTGCAAATGTACCCCTCAACACATTTTGGTTTCCTTTTCTTTGAATTCTATCGACCTTAGTTTATGTATCCTAATACAATGGAGAATTAATTTATTGAGATTTTGAAATTTGACTATTTATTTAGTACAGGGCTATTTGTGAAGTAATAATTGATAAAATTTTGATGATGATGGCTTTTCTAAAAATGAAGCAGTTAGGAGTTTTGGAACTCCGTGAAGTTGGCCTATTGCAGCTAATTTAGATCTGTCCTATTAAATGTATCTGTTATACCACTAGAGTATGTTTCATGAGTGACGTTTGGTGTGGAAGATGTATAGAACTTTTGAATTCATTTTTCACCCGTTCTAGTATATCTTTTCATGGCTAGATTATACTGAGACGTCCTTCTCAAAATGCAGGTATTGTGATGGCTCTAATAGGTTCTCTTTTTAGTGTACTCATGGTAAGTATTACGGCCTGTATGTAAACTTGGAAGTCTCTCTCTCTCTCTCTCTCTCTCTCTCTCTCTCTCTGGCGAACTGGTCAGTCATCTATATATGTAAGTGATAATTTGGCTGCTGGAGTGGTTTGAAACTTCTAAAGCATTGAATATTTGTTAAGATGTAACTTCCCTCTGGATAAGTTGTATTTCAAATGACCTCCCTTTCTTAACATGCCCATTGAGGAAAGTGTTTCTCTAGAGTTGCTTGTTATCTCGCTATATTTTATACGAGAAGCTAAGTTGGTGATGAATATTTTTCAAGGAGAAGACATAAGTTGCACATTACAGTTGTCCTGAAAAGCAGTTACACACTTAACCTTTACGCGCGACCTAATCCCCCTTATTCTTGTCTGAAGTGAATTAATACCTCTTTGAGATATATACAACCAGTTGCATGGTGGATGGTGTTGTACACTCTCCCTATGTCTTCGCCACGTATTCCCATATTAGATTCAATTTGAAATTTCCCCCTTTTTTTTTAACTTTTTCTTATTTTAATACTTTTCCTTATTCTCTCTTTTTTAATTTTCGTCTCCATCGTTATATTTGTTGTCAAAATCTCTTCCCCTAGACTCCCTTCGTCCAGTACCATCCTTCACCCCAATATTCCAACTTTATAAATTAGTTTGCAAGTTAATAGTTGATGATTTTTGGCATTGTAATACCAAGAAAAAGGAGGTTGAGATGAGAGATATGAATGTGGTAAGAGGTTGACCAGAGAAAACGGAAGCTTGCAGGAGAAACTTTTCTGGCGAACATCAGGTGGGATAATATAGTTTAATTTGAATTTTCCCTTGTTAATGCATTTTCATGGGTTTTCAATAGTCAACAACAACAACAACAAAATCAGTGTAATCCCACAAAGTCGGGAGGAGGGTAGTGCGTACAAAGACCTTACCCCTACTTTGTGAAGGTAGAGAAACTATTTTCGATAGACCCTCGGCTCAAGGAATGATAAAAAAGAAGTAGTAGCAGCAAGCAGTAGCAATAATACAATAAAAGAATAAGCAAAGCGAAAGAAATATCAGGAAGTAAAAGCAAACTACAAATACAGAAGTACAAGAATAATGCTAATATAACTGGTATGGAAAGGCAATACGCTCAACTACCTACTAACCTTCTACCCTAATCCTCGACCTCCACACCCTCCTATCAAAGGTCATGTCTTCGATAAGCTGAAGTTGTATCATGTATTGCCTAATCACTTTTCTCAATACTTTTTCGGCCTTTCTCAACCTCTTCTCATGCTCACCAAGGCTCACCTCCTTACCGGGGTATCTGTGCCCCTCCTCTTCACATGCCCGAACCATCTCAGCCTAACTTCTTACATCTTGTCCTCCACGGATGCCACTCCCACCTTGTCCCGAATATCTTCATTCCTAATATTATTTCTTTTAATATGCCTACATATCCTTCTTAACATCCTCATTTTTTCCACTTTCATTTTCTGGACATGTGATTTCTTGACTTGCCATTCTACCCCATGCAACAAGGTAGGTCTAACAACCACTCTATTGAACTTACCTTTAACAGAACACAGGAATTGAGCCTCCATTTCATCCATTTCGCTCTCATACGGTGTGTGACATCATCGTCAATCTCCTCATCATCTTGGATTACTGACCCAAGGTACTTGAAATTTGCTCTCTTGGGGATGACTTGTGAATCATGCCTCACGTCTTCATACGCCTCATACGCCATATCTCTCAACTTGCAATCCTAATATTCTATTTGGTCCTGCTCAACTTGAAATCTTTTGACTCTAGGGTCTGTCTCCACACCTCTCGCGTCGCGTTAACATCGTCTCGTGTCTCGTCAATCAATACTATGTCATCAGCAAATAAGATGCACCACGGCACCTCCCCTATGAATGTGACACGCCAGGACATCTATCGCCAAGCTAAATAAAAGTGGGCTAAGGGCTAATCCCTGGTGCAACCCCATCATCATTGGAAAGTGTTCCGAATCTCCTCCACTGTCCTCACCCGGGTCTTAGCTCCATCGTACATGTCCTTAATCACCTTAATGTACGCTACAGGAACACTTTTAGCCTTCAAGCATCTCTATAGAACCTCCCTAGGGGTTTTGTCGTAAGTTTTTTTTAGGTCAATGAACCCTATATGCAAGTCCCTCTTCCTCTCTCTACTGCTCCACCAATCTCCTTACAAAGTGAATACCTTCCATAGTCGATCGCCCCAGTAAATCCGAACTAGTTCTAAGAAATAGACAAACTCTTCCTTACCCTCATTTCCACCACCATCTCCCAAACTATCATGGTATGGCTCAACAACTTGATACTGATACTGTTGTTGAAATTTTAGATATAACCCTTATTGTTGTAAAGCGGAATCGTTGTGATGCGCCTTCATTCCTCGGGCATCTTCTTCATCCTAAAAGTAACGTTAAACAACCTAGTAAGCCACTCCAAGCCTGTCCCGCCCGCGTTCTTCCAAAACTCCATCGGGATTTTGTCTAACCCAGTCGCTCTTCCCTTGTCCATCTTACGCATAGCCCCCTCAACCTTTGCAACATTAATACGCCTACAATACCCAAAGTCTAGATGACTCTTAGAGTGCTCCAAATCATCCAACACAATATTCGTATCCTCTTATTCGTTCAAGAGCTTCGTTGAAGAGCTTATGAAAGTATGCCTGCAATCGTCTTTTAATAAGTGTCTCTTCCACCAATACTTGTCTTCCTCGTCTTTGGCACTTCATTTGATTCAGGTTGCGAGCCTTCTTCGCTCTCACCTTGGATAGCATGTACAACTTCTTGTCCCCGCCTTTGGCCCCCAGTTCTTCATACATGCGTCAAAACGCTGCAGTCTTGACTGCCGTATCCGCTAACTTCACCTCCTTCTTAACGTTCTTATACCACTCCCTATTCCTCTTCTTCTCCTCCTCGTCTTTGTTCTCCACTAGCCTCAAGTACGCCTAAAATTTTGCTGGTTAGTATAACCTTTGCTATTTCGCTTGTCACGAAGCTTCTTAATCAATTATGCTGGTTAGTACAAGTGACATAAGGTTATTTCTAGGCAGGTTTTGGTGGTGTGATTTATCCTAAAGTATATATCATATCACTGAAGGAAAAGGGAGGAGGGATCGACAAATATGGAGATTCTGGTGGTGGAAAAATAAAAGGAGGAGGAGCGAGAAGTAAAGTCAGAGAAACAAAAGGAAAAAGAAAAAGGGAAGAAACGGAAAAAGAAAAGAGCGCCCACAATTAATTAAGTGTATTAGGTGCATAATGTCCAATAAAATTTGACACATGTATAATATAATCAGTTTTTAAAATGTTTTTTGCTCTTCACTCGCGTTTGTGAAGATAAAATTTTTCTTTGCCACATCATCTTTCATGGAGATATTAAATTCTTTTCCGACAAGGATGGGGTGTATTAGGTCGTTCATAAAGGTTAAGTGTATAACTGACCTGTCGGGGCAACTACATGGTGCAACTTATGTCTTTTCCCTTTCTCATGCATTATGAACTATATCATGAATCCTATTACAATATAAACTGAGACATCGATATTTTCCACTACATTGATACTTTTGAGGTGCTTCAGTAATTGATCTCACTTACTAAACGGCAAAGTACACACACACCCCTCTCTCTCTCAAACACACACGCTCTCTATTCTCTCTCACGTGCACCCCCTCGGGGGCACTTACTCGCAAGCATATACACACACAAACAAACACTTGTAAATGTTTGAATGCTTCTGTTAGAGAGATATCAATTTGTATCACGTGTTTGATTGATGATGCAGGCGGTAATTATACCAACTTTGTGCTTTCTGAAAATTTTGGGGAATAAGGCTACAAATAATCAGGTAATCATTGCTCAGGTGTGGTCGTGCTTTTTCATGCTTTGAAGCCTTTCAATTTTATCCCACTGCTAATTAAGAGAAGTGGATTACTTCGGGTTACTTCTTTTCTTGAGTTACAATAGTGGCATCAGAGTAGAATTGTAGAAAGCAGAACTTAGTGGCAAGTTCATTGGGGTCAGCTGCTGTTGTAAAATTGCAAACTCCTATTTCTAGTAAATTCTTGGAGAGACTTGGCACATAATTTCTTCTGCGTGACTGTTGATGATGCTGAAGCGGATTTCACTTCAATGGATACCGGTAGATCTTCACGAACACAGAGGCACTTATGTCTTAAAGAATTCCTTTGCAGGCCCCAATCCATTTCATCCATTGACTTGGTTATTCCCATGACTACCCCATCATACTAGTTGGCTTCTCTTCTTGAACAGCTGAGTCTGTGTTATAATATTATGATGATTCTAAATAGAATCAAGATTAGCTAATAATAGGTGGTTCACCATTGCAAATTCGACTAGCTAGAGTTTACTTGCAATTACATGTAAAGCTGACTAGTAACATTAAATGTCTTTTGGTCAATTGCTATTTCTTCATTAATTGATGGTTTTAGCAAATGCAGATCATACTCAGTGTAGCCATTGTCTTATTGGGGATTGTCAGCGCGATCATGGGAACATACACTTCTCTGTCACGACTTGCTGAGGAATACTGAAATATTTGCAACATGTCCATGTAAAGCATTATGTGGGGAGCCTGAGTTGTGTTACTAATTTGGTAGTACGGAGCAAGAAAAATATAATGATTCATAGAACTCACGTTCTTTAATCAGTTTCTAAATTGTTTCTGCCGTCTCGTCATTGTCTTTCCTGGATATTTCTATAGAATTTGGTGTTCCACAAAATTTGTTACTATCTTGGCGTTAACTACAGGTTTTTGCCTTTTAGTTGGATTGGTTAGCTTCCACTTATGTCATGCCAACCATTATGAAATGTAATCTATTACTCAATTTGCCGGAAACGGGTTAGTCTCTCTCTTTTTATATATATAGGGGGGGATTTGCATTTATACCCAGATTTTGGGTCACAATTATACCCACTTTGCAAAAAAAAATTCAAGCGTACCGACTTTTCGGGTAACTTCAGACATACGGGGCCTGAAGTAGCAAGAATTTATGTCTGAAGTTTGAACTTCAGAATTTTTTACCTGAAGTGTGACCTTATCAAAGAAAAATTTCAGATATTTTCGTCTGAAGTTTGGCCTGACTAGCAAACGCAATCATAAACTTCAGTTCGTAGTGCAAACTTCAGACAAATTAGTTTGAAGTTCTTCAGTTTGTAGTGCAAATTTATTTGTCTGAAGTTCTTTAGTTTGTAGTGCAAACTTCAGATAAAATCAGCTTGTTATATTTGAACTTCAAATAATTTTTCCTGGCATGATAGTTGCAAACATCAGATAAAATTTAATCTGGTAATGTCTGAAGTCTGGCCCTGCAGTCCCAAACTTCAATTGTTGCTTCTTCGAGTTTGACAATAAACTTTTGTTTTATTATTTACGTACTTTGTGTTGGGATGTATTAATGTTTGAGAGGCTGCAGCGAGTCTTTTTTTTCTTTTTGATTTGTCGCTTTGTCCAATTTTCAGAAATGATAACATGTGTAACTTACAGGATAACATGTTTGAGAGAGAAAAGAAGAAGAGGAAAAGAAGAGGAGGAAGAAAGGAGCGAATAGGTCGCAGGATCTGCAGTTGTCAAAATTAGGGTATAGGTTAAATAATTTTAAAAATATAGGTATAGGTTAAACGGGGGCGACCAAATAGGGCGCCCATGCAATTTTTACGGACGTTTAATAATTATCCATCCAGCGAAAATGTTAAGGGGTCGTTTGTTTAGTAGGTATTAGAAAGAATAATGCAAGCATCAGCTCTATGCATTACTTATACCTTGTTTGGTATATTTTTTTAACTTGTGTATAACTAATACTTGTATTAGTTATACATCATACTTGGTATTATCCTATGTATAAGTAATGCATAGAAAACCATGGCATTAGTAATACCAAGGCTATTAATGCATGCATTAGTATGGTTATTCACAAAATTATCCTTAAATTCCCTTAAAGCTAGAGAATATGGAGGGTATTTTTGTAAACAACTATTTTTCTTAAAAATTATGCAATGCATTATAATTTTAATACACCACACCAAACAGTAGATAAGAAATACTATCTGCATAACTAATGCTTGCATTACTAATCCATGTATTACTAATACACCCTATTCCGCACTGTTCTTATACACCCTACCAAACCATCCCCTAAAAAGAACAGCTATGTAAGCAACTCCTAAGTCATCCTAATAATGCCATATGCAGTTTATGTAACTGAAAATAAAATTTGCAAGTAGGTTAAAGATATTTTTCAAACAGGATGAGGAGTTCATTTAAAGTTTTGGTTAATTAGAAAGTAGCTACAAGTAATTTATCATGTATAAAATCCAAAAAAAAAAAAAATGTATACATAACCGCATCAAAAAAGAACAGAGTTTCTTCCTTTGTGAAAGCTTATGATTAAACATTGAAAACAAAAAAGAACAAAGTGAAAATGGTAGGTTATTCGAATTGGCAGAAATGGTTTTTTTTTCTTTCATTCAACAAAATAAATATGCGCTTAGGTATTTTAGAAGTGAGTTTTCCCTATTTAAAATTCTACCTCGGAAAAGGCCTAAAAATGCCACTCAACTTTCAGAAATGGTCTATCCATGCCATCCGCTAAAAAAATGTTCATTTCATGCCACTGCCGTTAAAGAAATGGCCCATCCATGCCATTATTGACTAACGGCAGTGGCATGGATGGGCCAAATAAAAATTGAGCCGTTAGTCAATAATGGCATGGATGGGCCATTTCTTTAACGGCAGTGGCATGGAAATAGCAATTTTTTAACGAATGGCATGGATAAACCATTTCTGAAAGTTGAGTGGCATTTTTAGGCCTTTTCTGATTCTACCTTCCGCGGTCCACCAAGTGCATATGTACTTCCGTTTCTGCGGGGCGCTTCAGCGCGTTTGCTTTTGCGAGCAACAACCGCACCTGCAGTCCCAAGTCACCAGGCCATACTCCGCTTCTACAGAATGAAATTCGCACGTGCGCTTGCGCACCTGCGGACTCAGCTCACCCAGCCCCATCTCACACCTGGAACGACTCCCTCGCACCTGCATGACCGAACATGCGGCCACTCCCACCGTAGGTGCGATGACACCTGACTTCAGCAATCTTCTAAGTCCAAATTTGATCCCAATTTCAATTTGATTCAAACCCGGGCCCCTGGGGCCCCGTCCAAGTATACCAACAAGTTCCAAAACACATAACGAACCTACTCAATGCCTAAAATCACATCAAACAATATCGATTCAACAAATCGCAAACCTAATTCAAGCATATTAAAACCATGAACATCCAACTTCCAAAACTAATGCCGATTTGTACCAATCCAACTCCGATTTACCTCAAATTTGGCACACAAGTTATAAATGACATAACCGACCTATTTCAACTTTTGGAATCGAAATCCTACCCCGATATCAATAAAGTCAACTCCCGCTCAAGCTTCACAACCTTCCAAACCTTCAACTTTTTAACTTTCACCAATTCAAGCCGAAACGACCTACTGACCTCCAAATAAATATCCGGACAAACTCCTAAGTCCAAGATCACCATACAGAATTATCAGAACCATCAAAACTCCAGACCGGATTGATCTATATAAAAGTCAAACTCCGATCAACTCTTTCAACTTAAGATTCCCACTTTGGGACTAAGTGTTCCATTTCACTCCGAAATTTACCCGAAACCAAAACCAACTACTCCCGCAAGTCATATAACCACAATTTAACATAAAGGAGGCAAAAAATAGGGGAACGAGACTTAAATACTCAAAAGGGTCGATTGTGACCAGTCCACAGCTCATACGGAATGGAAGAAACTAATTTAGAAAGCACTTTGTTCAATATGTAGGTTGCAGTCAATAACTCATCTCCCCAAAAGGATATAGGTAATTTTTCCTACTCCATCATGGACCTTATCATGTCTAATAGTGTTATACTTCTCCTTTCTGCTACATAATTTTGTTGAGGTGTAAGGAATAGTTAACTGTCTAGTGATAGCTTTCATTACACAATTCTTCAAATTGTTTTAAGGTCTTAATCCATTTGTCTAATTGATTCTCAACTTCATTCAAATATTTCTTAAAGCATTCTAGTGCTTCATATTTATGAGAAATTATTTAGACATAACCAAAGCGCATGAAATCGTCAATAAACGTAGTGAAATATAATGCATCAAACGTTGCCCTCACATTCATTGGACCATAGATATCATAATATATTAATTACAATGGAATATCAGCTCTCTTAGACTTTCCAAATGATTTAGGTATAATCTTTTCGGCAAAATAATTTTCAAAAGTTGGCATTTCAATTTTAGAGAAAGAACCTAAATGTCCTTTCTTAGCCAATCTATTCATTAATCCTGCCCTATATGACATAATCGTGCATGCTATTTAACAGCATCAATGGCATTATTACTAGAATAACATACCATAACATAGTGATCGACATAATAGTTATACGTAGAAGGATTAACCATCATAACGATGTCCAACCAAAAAAATATTGTCTAGAGTAACCATTGCAACTAAAGTTAAAATTGAAATCCAAATCTAGAAGAACAGACATTGAGACTAAATTTTATCGAATCTCTGGAACATATAAGACGTCATGCAACATCAAAGATCAGCCACCACACATGTCCATTCTGCAAGTGCCTATCCCTTTGACTTCAAGCTTTGCATTATTTTTTACATATACATGCCTTGATCCAGGTGAAACTCGACAAAACTCTATATAAAATTCTCTATCACGACTCACATGGTCGTTGATCCTTGAGTCTACAATCCACACAGGATAAAATTCAGTGTAAAACAATGTTAGAACATATATAGCACTTAGAGACGCATTTTGAAATGCTACCTTTTTCAGCTCAGTGAACTCACGTGCAAAATGCCTTGGAACTTGGCAATTGTAGCACTTCATCTTACTCTTGTCTCTTCTTGTAGAATCGTTTTTTTCTTGGAATTTGGCTTGTTTCTTTTCTTGGAGAATCTTTCTCCGGTCTCCTTACCCTTCTATTATTTTTTTACTTTTCCTTTCTCTTGAAGCTTGAACTCTTTGTACCACTTAATTCTGCCTCAAAGGCACTAAGTACAGCTTTAGTAGCACCAAGTCGCTAGTCTTCAAGCTCTACATGACGGGCAACATTAGCAAAAAATTTGATTTTGTCATTGTGGGCCATGTTAACCTTCAAACGTTCCCAATTACTGGGGAGAGACCGGATCACTGCCTAAACTTGCTGCTTATCGGACAGAACATGACCAACACCTTTTAGTTGAGCACTCATGTTTGAAATCACCCTTAAGTGTTGCTTGAAATTGTGATCATGACGCTTCTTGTACGTATCAAACTTGATTTTCAGTTGTCTAAGGCGAGTAACAGTTGTACCGCCATATGTCTCTCTTAAATGTTCCCACGTGGCTTGAGCTGTAGAATATTTCTCATATTCATGGATGAGATCATCAGCAACTGAACTTATAATAATTCCACGTGTAGTGCAATCTTTCTTTTTAAAAATATTATAAGTTTCCAGATCCCTCCTGTGTTGGGCAGTGTTACCCCCCCTCTGGGTGACTCATAACAAGGTTAATACTTTTAAGAGCATCTTGATATTCGCGTACATACCACATCTTACGACTCCAGATGTTGTAATTTTCACCATTCAGTTTGTCACCCTTGTTCAAGTCGGTAATGATACTTTTTGATGTCATGTCTATTATTAGAGCTAATATTGCAAGTTTAACTCATGAATATATACTTCAGTCAATTTATGTATGTGATTACACGCCCAAAAAAATTAATTATAATATTAATTCTATATTTAATATAGAATCGAAATGTCAC